CTCCCACTCCTTGGAGGAAGTCAGGATCCTGGCAGAAGACAGACACAAAGAGAGAAAAGGACTTTTATGAAGGGCCACTTACCAAGCTGTGTACAAGGGGTAGGTGAAGCTCTGGGTGGGGGCTGGTCCCAGAGTCCTGAGAGGGTAGGAAAGGGCCCCTGGGAAGGGGCTGGGGCCTCAGGGACATGGTAGGTCTGGATCCAGTGGGGAGTTGGGGAAATTCCCCAACCTCTGGGCTGGAGGCCAAACTCACCCGGAAGCCAGTGGGGGTGGGGGCTGGGGCCACTGATGTAGTGCGGAGCTCAGGACAGGGTGTAGAGGGAGGAGGGCAGGACTGGGGGAAACCGCGAATATCCAACCTCTTCCTTCGCCTCAGTCCCCACCTTTTCCAGCCCAGGGCCTCTGGCTGGATATCTGACCATTCCGCCCCCCCCCCCCACCCTCTTGGGCACCCAGAGCTCTCTAATACCCTCATCAGGGCAGGTCTCAGCTGGTATCAAACCCTCCTGCGGCGCCACGTTGTCGTCGGGATGAAGTCCAAACTTCTTGATCACCCAGCTGCAGGTCCCTCCCCTGACCTGTTCCTCCTCCAACCCCGGGGGCCCTGGCTTCTGTGTTCTCACACCGAGCGGCCGAGCCAGCCCAGGTGCGCCGCCCGCTGCCTGGCACACTCCATACTCTCCTAGACCGCCTCCCCGCAGGTGGGTTTCCACCTGCATGGTAGGTGCTTGAGGCTCCCTTCCATTCTCCAGGGTGTGTGCCCCCCTTCTTGCTCCCCCCCCCCCGCAGGGCAGGGCCTGGCACGTGGGTTTCGCGGGGACTGAGGACTATGGGGGCGGCTGTCGCGTGCCCCTGGCGGGGCGGCCGCAGACACGGGTACACGGCGGGTGGGCACCGTCGCAGCCCCAGCTGTCCAGGCGCTAAAGCCCAGGCTCCCCAGCACACCGCCCTCCCAACCCCCGCTCCCAGGACTTCTCTCCCCTGCCGCTGCTCACAACCGAGCCTCTGCTCAAGACCTTCCCCATACCTGGAAGGTAGGATGCCGGGAGGGCGATCCCTCTGCGAGGCGTCTCCCACGCTGCCCCCGCCCCAGCGTTAATCCCTTTCCCTCTCCCAGCTCCCGGGTCACCCGACACCAGCAAGCAGCCCGTGAGCCCTTACCCCAGGAACGGTGAGCACCTCCAGGGTCCCCAGACCCACCCCGCCCCGCGGCCCACGCCACCGTCGACGCCCACGACCCCCACCCCAGCCTAGAACGCCAGGTGTCTGGGAGCTGGGGGCGCGGGAGGGGAGGGTCCGGGTGGGGCAACGGGGGGGCCTCTGGGACTCCCTTCCCCTCCCCCAAGCTCCACCCTCATTTGGGCGGGCGGGGCTAAAGGTTAGGGGCTGGGAAACGCTCCCCGAGCTGGCTTAAGCGTTAACCCGCGGGCCCAGGGCCAGGACGCCGGGCTGCCCCGGGCCCTAGGTTCCGCCTGGCAAGCGGGGCGGGTCCCCCAGCCGAGGGCGGGGCGGAGACTGGGAGGGGAAGGGGTCTGTCGGCTGGGTGTGGGAACTAGTGACCAGGGGGCGGGCGCGGACAACCTAGGGGTGGGCGCTGGGGACCCGACCGAGACAGGGAGGGGAGGGGGTCGGGGGTGCGGGGGTGCGGGAGAGGGGACCGAGGCAGAGAGGGGAGGGGTCTGCGGGGGGCGCGGGGGCTTAGAGGGGAGGACGCAGGGGCGAGGGCCGCGTGCACCTGGCGCCGGGGCCCGCCCTAACCTGGATTTCCGGGGGCGGGGCGGGGCGAGGGGGCGGGGCGAGGGGCGGGACGCGGGGGCGGGGCGAGCGCCAGCAGACGTCAGGGACCCGCGCGCCAGGCCCCGGGCCGCCGCTCCGCCCGTGGGCTCAGCCGGGGCTGCCGCGAGCGTGCGGGCCGCGCCGGGCATGTCCTAGGCGGCGGCCCCGCCCAGCGCTCGGCCGGCGGGCGGGAGGGCCGGGGCCGAGCTGGGGCCGAGCCGGGGCCGAGCCGGGGCCGAGCCGCAGGTAAGACGCGCGCTCCGCACCCGCGGCGGCCGGGGCCTCCCTGCGCCCGCACCTGCGCCCGCCGGGCCGCGCGGGGATGGAGATGAGCGGGGGGCAGGGGCCGGGGGAGCAGGTCCCGTCCGGGCCGGACAAAGGCGTGGGGACGGCGGCCGCGGGCGCACCTGGCCGGGCTGGTCCCCGCCGCCGCGAAGGCGGCCCAGGTCTGCGCCAGGCCGGGAGGGGCGCCCGGCGCGCGTCTACTCGGCTTGGAGAGGGGGGCGCAGGCCTGGGCGCCGGGGTCCCCGCCCAGGCACCGGCTCGGCCATGGCTGCCCCGGCGAGCGCTGATTCAGAAGGCGCCGCTCCCTCCCCCTCCGGGCCCGGCCGCCGCCCGGCCTGGTCTCTCCTCCCGCGGTCCCTCCCTCCGTCCTCCCCTCGTTTCCCTTGTCGCCGCCGTCTCTCCGCTGGCCCTGCCTCCTCTCTCGGCCTGTTCCCGGCCTCCGTTCCGTCTGCTCCTTCCAGCCGCCCGCCCCAGCTCCTGCCGCTCCCAGACCCTGCCCCCATCCGTTCCCTCTCCCGGTCCCGGCCGGCTCCCAGCCCCTGCCCCCGGACGGCTCCACCTTCCCTCCTCACCTCCTGGCGGGTGGCTTTTCTGGCTGGGGCGGCCGTGGGGACAAGTTTGGGGTGTTTATTATTCTCCCTCCTAGCAACGATGGCCAGGCCAGCCCCGATCCGGCCGCAGGCTGTTTGGGAACATCCTCAGCTCCCCGGCCTGAGCCTTTTCAGGGTGGGTTGGTAGTGGCAGGGGTGGCCTGGCACAGCCGCATAACCAGGCTCTCGGTGCTTGGCCTCCCTTTGCCGTAAGTCGAGGCTGTGGCGTCCTCTGGGTGGGGTCGCTGCCTATTGGAGCCAGTAGCAGGTGATGGAAGAGTGTGGGATGTGGGGGCTGGGAAGGGCAGTGATGGGGCTGTGATGGGGCAGGGGCTTTCCAGCAGAGAGCCTGTCCCCTCCCCCCTGCTGCCCGAAGGAGGGGTTTTAGAGGAGGCTGGGGTGGTGGAGCCCTCCGGAGCCCTGGCTCCTCCCTTCGCCTCTAGTTAGTGCCCCTCTGGCCTGACTCTGAGGAAGTGCCTGGGGCTTTGGGGAGGGGATTCTGGCCGACTTCTCCTGGGGTGGGTTTTTCCCACATCCTCCCACCTGCTTGGCCCAGGTGACATGAGGGTATGCCAAGGGATACGTGGTCACTTGGGCCTCCATGGCCTTGCTCACTGCCCCACCCAGAAGGGAGCTGAGACCTGGGGCCTCTGGGTGTGGGTACTGCAGGGACAGGAACTGGGGATGCCCCCACTGCTCCCACCTTTGCTTCTCTCCTGTCTGTGCTCCATCCTCTGAGTCACACTGTGGCTTCAGGACCTCCAGGGCTGGCCACATGGCATCTGCCCATGCCCTTCCACTGTGACCCCTGCTCTGCTCAGTGCTCCGCTCATGGTGTTTTTGAAATTCTTCGTGACTTTTGGACAAGGCTACCACATTTCACTTTGCGCTGAGCCTCCTGGAGATGAAGCAGGTCCTGGAACTACCTTTTGGCTCCAGCACCGGCCACAGGACTCCCCGAGCCTTGTGACCCGTGTCTCTGCACTGGTTCTTCTCTTTGCCTGGACCACAGTCCCCAGACGTTCACATGCCTGCTTCCGTCCGCCTGCTCCTGTCCCTGCTCCAGCATTACTCAGATGTCCCCTTCCCAGGGAGCCTTCCCAGACCCCCCCACCCCTCCCTCCCTGCTTCGTTTTTCCTCTGGGACACTCACACATTCTCAGAGCCTTTCACCTTGTTGCCTGCCTCCACGGCTGGTGGGAAGGCTGGTGGTGCGGGTCACAGCTGTCTCAGAGCCCAGGATGCCCCTCGGCACATGGCGGTGCTCGGGATGTGATTTATCCTGTGTGTGTGTGTGTGTGTGTGTGTATTTCAGCATTATGCGTGTTTGTATGGTGAAGAGCGGCCAGGACACTTGTGGGTGGTGCTCTGGATACGCGGGAGGCCATGTGCACACGTGTGTCCCATGAGCGTGCGTGCATGTTTGGTGTCCACACACAGGTGCCACCGTGATACAGCTCTGGGGCTCCGGGTGAGCACGGCGCCTGTGGGAGAGCATGTGTGTGCAGGCCGCATGGGGGCCTCAGGCTGCCCCAGTGCCTGGTCTTGGGTGACATTGGCCCTTGTTGTCATTCAGATTGCCCCCACTGTGCCCCTCAAGCTACCGTGGTGCTTCCCTGCCCATCTTGACCATACCAGCCCCTCACGATGCCCCCGGGACCTCGGGCACCGGGCACTACCTCCATCACCTGCTGCCTTGGTCACCTGGTACTGTCCTGGCTTGGGGAGCTTAGCAGGATGGCTGCAGTGGCCACCAAGGGCTGTTTCGTCTCCTCTAAGTGATCAGTGTGTTGATGGCTCAGGGCTCCTGTCCTCAGCTGTCTCCCCCTGACCCTCCTTGCCAGGTCCACCCCAGAGTGTCCGGCTAGGGGAAACAGATCCCCTGGTGCAGAGCATGTGTCCTGGGATGGGGTCTGGCCCTGTGCACCTGGCGTTGTGGGGGACCCCGATGGGCCATGCCGAGTCCCACTCAAGAGCTGTTCCTGGTCGGGTCATGAGGACATGTGTGGCTCCACACGTGGGCAGCGTGGCCGGTGCCTCCTCGTAGACTCAACGCCTGGCATCTAGGAGGGAGAGGAGAGGGGCCTAGAGCACAAGGGAGGACTGGGAGAACTTGGCTGGGGCAGGCGGCCACAGGGGCAGGCATCCTCAGGGAAGGGCGGGTGGCCTAGTATGGCTGGGGCCCAGCGTTTCCAGGGGTGGCCGCTGTGTGGCCATGGGGGTGCTTGAACCTCCTGGGGGGCAGGATCTGTTCTGGGCCTTTCGTGGCCAGGGGCTGGGGCCAAGGGAGGGAAGCCTGCTCTAACAGCTCCTTCCCCCCAGGGCCGGATAGGCCTGGCCAGTGCCAAGATGAGTGTCACCTCCTGGTTCCTGGTGAGCAGCAGTGGTACCCGCCACCGGCTTCCGCGAGAGCTTATCTTCGTGGGGCGTGATGAGTGTGAGCTCATGCTGCAGGTGAGTGTGAGCCCCTCGGGGCTGAGAAGGCAGGTCCAGGGCCCGGGCCCGGGAGACGCCCATCCTACTGGTTGCAGGACACCTGGGGGGGGAGCCCTCAAGTCAGCCCTGGGCCTGGGTGTCTCCACCTGGACCCTGGACCCACAGCCGGGCGTATGCAGGCGTGAGTGTGTGCTCACGAGGCTGGTCCCTGCCTCTGCATATTGGAGCTTTTCTGACAGGAAGGTGTTTAGGCTCCGATCAGGTTCTCAAGGCACCGGGGACCCACCTTTGGAAGGTGCTGGAAAGTGGACCTACCCATATCCTTGTTGTCTGGGGCCCCAGCTGGGCCACAGATGGAGCGGGGAGCCCCAGGGCCATCTCGGGCCATCAGAGCTGTCCAGGGGAAGGCTGGTGCCCCTTTGAGGCACCCTGGGGTGGGGAAGGGGCCTTTCTTGGGCAGAAAAGGCTGGTGGGGCCAGGGCACCGTGCTCTTGGCCATCAGGACTTTCAGGCTCTGGGTTTCAGAGTGTGGGTTCGGCTTCCGTGGGGCTCACGTATCTGGCTATTTGGGAACCAGGAGGGTTCACCCTAGTTCGGGTGTCCTTTCCCTGCGCCTCATGGGTGTGGTTGAGTTGGGCTTCCTGCAGCCCTGCGCCGCCCCCCTCCCCCCGCGTGGCACATGGGCTGCTGTCCCCCAAGCTCCCCAAGCTCATGCCCCCGACTGTGGTGTCCTGGGTGGGCCGCTCGGGTGCAGGGTGAGGCCTGGCTCAGGCCCTGGCTCCCTTGTGTGAGCCTGGCTGCTGCCGCCCACTCCCCGGGACACCTGGGGCTTGGGCTGCGGACGGGGGCTCTGCCACACACACACGCACACTTGGGCAGCAGACGTCCACCTCTGTCTCCCGAGGGCAAGCCCGTCCCTCTCTGGACACCCTGGCTTCTCCCCGAAGGTCCTCGGACTTGCTTGGCTAGGCTGGCCAAGTTCCCGCGTCAGGTTTGGTTGCTGGGCCTCCGAAGCGTCTCTGATCTGGAACGGTCTGTCCTCTTATTTCTCGTCATGCCTTTGGAAGCTGGGGAGACCGCGTCAGTGACTGTACAGGGTGGGCACATGTCTCCCGTAAAGACCGGGGAACGTCTCTGAGGCCTCTTGGGCCGCACACCTCCTCGGCCGCGACTGCGCTCTCCTGGCCGTGGAGCAGCCCGAGGACCAGGAGGCAGCCGGCGTGCTGGCACCAGGGGGTCTTCCTCGCGGCCTCGCAATGTCAGTCTCCTGTCGTCCTCATGTGTCACGATATAGCCTCAGCTTATTAAAAACCATTTACGGGTAGAAAGCGTGCTCCGAACTCGCGGTGTGCACAAAGCAGGCGGCAGGCTCGGTCGCACCCCTGGCATCTTGAGCGGCCCCGCTGAGGTCTGGAGGTGGCTGGTGGCTCCTGACAATGACACGGAACGTGACCCCCATTCTCTGTCGCTGGAGGCGGGTCTGAAAACGGGCTGGGTCCCTGACCCTGGCAAGGTGCCGTGCGCCTGGGTAGCGTGTTGATGGCTTTGTTGGTCTACCTGGGGTGGCCAGGAGGGCCTCTTGGAGGAGGCAGCATTTGACCAGGGCCCGGCGTGGGTGTTCTTCCTGCCCACTGCCTGGCTCTGTCGCCTGCACCAGGCCCTCACTCTGCTTGCTGCTTTTCCCAGGGATTGGTGCAGAGGCTTCTGGGGCAGGAGGTGGGGATCAGGGTGCTCAAGTGAGCTTGGGGTCCAGTTCCAGTTCTGGTTTGTTGGTGGTGGAGCCTTGAGCCGGGCAGGAGCAGCGGGCACTTTTCAGCCCTCCATGCAGGTCCAGCCCCAGGCTCGGGTGCACCTTGCTGTCCTCTGGCACCTGGGGAAACCGAGGCTCCAGGAGGTCATGCATGCTGTCCACCCCCGCAGCCTCCCTTTCTGTCTGGGCCCTGAGCTCCTGGGCAGGACCACCCCTTGCATCTCCCAGAGGTGCCCTCACTCCCATACCCTGGTTTCCACATCCGCTCAGGTGATTCACATGGTGTCCTTGCCTCTCCTGTCCCCAGCCTCTAGCCACCTGCAGTCATAGCCTGTGTGGGCCTCACCCAGGCAGCCCCAGCTCCATGCAAAACCACCATCCTCCATCCCCTCCAGCAGGGTCCCTGCCAGTGTCCCCACCAGTGGTCCAGGGACACACCCTGACCTTCCCCCTCCCTTACCCGTGCTGTGGGCATCCACAGGCGGCGCTGCCACTGCGCCCAGGCTCAGGGGACAGGCACACTGGTGGATCCCAGCCTTGCCCTAGAGCTGCCCCGCCCCGGCCCCTCTGTTCAGGTGGCCCCCCACCCCCGCTCATCCTTCCCTGCCAGCTCACCCCCTCCCTGCCTCATCCTCCGGAGGCCCGGGCCTCCCCTCTGTGGGGGTCTGTGTCATTGTCCCCGTGTTGTCACTCCACAGTTGTGATGGAGCACTGCACTGTCCTGGCGCCGGGAGGGCCCTGCAGAGACCCTGCCTCCTGGGGTCACTGCTCTGGGGTGGGGCCGGCCACACCCATGTAAGCAGGGACCAGATGAGTCCCCAGGGCAGAAGCCCGCAGGAGGTGGCACTGGGAACGGGATGGGGGGCTGTGGGGCCGACTGGACACTCAGGAGGGGGAAGGGCGCGGAGGGCTGGCATAGGTGCTGGGCGGGGTGTGGCCTCCACACAGGGCACAGGGAGCAGGCAGTGCGGGGAGGCTGGGGAGCAGGAGACTGTCCAGGGGGCCTGGGCCGCAAATGAGGCAGGAGGGGCTGTGGCTTGTTGGGCCTTGCGGGGCAGCGGAAGGTGGGGGGGCGTGTGTGGAGGCAGAGCCGGCCAGCCTGGCCACGTGCCGCCCCACACTCTCCAAGTGTGGCACAGAGCTGGTGCAGGACGTGTGCCTCTGCACGCGGGCATGTGTGTGGGGTGTGTGTGTGCTGGTGCACGCATGTGTGTGTGGGGCCCGTGTGCCTGTGCATGCGCGCGCGTGTGGGGTGTGCCTATGCACGTGTGCATGTGTGTGGGGTGTCCCTGTGCACACGTGTGTGTGGGTGTGCCTGTGCACGTGCACGTGTGTGGGGGTGTGTGCCTGTGCACGTTCACGTGTGTGGGGTGTGTGTGCCCGTGCACACGTGTTGGGGTGTGTGCCTGTGCACGCGTGTGTGGGGGCGTGCCTGTGCACACGTGTGTGGCGGGGGCATGTGCCTGTGCACGCATGTGTGTGTGGGTATATCCCTGTGCACGCGCGTGTGTGGGGCGTGTGCCTGTGCACACGTGGGGGGGCATGTGCCTGTGCACGCCTGTGTGTGGGTGTATCCCTGTGCACGTGTGTGTGGGGCGGTGTATTCCTGTGCACGCGCGTGCGTGTGTGTACCCCTGTGCACACATGTGGGGGGTGTATCCCTGCGCACATGTGTGTGTGCCTGTGCACGTGTGTGTTTGTGGGGGTGTATCCCTGTGCACACGCGCGTGTGTGGTGTATCCCTGTGCACACGCGTGTGGGGGTGTATCCCTGTGCACACACGTGTGTGTGCACATGCATGTCTCTGTGCTTGTGCACAGGTGTTTTCCCTGCTTCTGCCCAGTTTGCCCTGTGGGAATGTAGCAGCCGGGGTCTGTCTGCTTGCGTCCTCATGCGGAGACCACAGCCCCGAGCTGGAGCCCTCTGCACATGAGCCAGCTGAGCCCATCCGCAGTGGACGTGGGTGATGCCGGGTGCGAACTGGTGGGAGGGTGTGCCCAGAGCCCTGGGTTTTGGCTGCTGCCAGGATCAGGCTGGCCTGGGCCGGGCTCTTTCCACGGAGGGAGTCACATAAAGTTTGGAAGCACGTCTTTGTTCCTTTTAAAGTGAGTATAATTAGACTCTTTTTCAAATATCTGTATGTTTGGAGTTTGTTAGGGTCATTTTATTCACCTGTTGCACGATCTCTCCCTTCATGAGCTGCTTTGTGTCCTGTGAAGTCTCAAATCCAGGCCTAAGGGGCTGCCTCCATCTTCCCTGGGTGGGTGTCCAGCCTCTGAGCTCCTGGGCCTGGTGGAACTGGGGTCTGCTTCTGGCTTGGGGTGTCAGGGCTGGGAGGGAGGTTTCTGGTCCTGGAGCCCTTCTCCACCTGCTCCCCATCAGTCCTGGTGCTACCCCCAGTCTGGGAGGGGGTTTTTGCAGGAGCTGTGCCTGGTGCTAGAGCCCTGGCCGGGAGTGGAGGCTGGGCCTGGGGACTGGAGGGGGTGGCCCAGGCTCTGGGGGCAAATGGGGGGACACTGTGCAAGGTCCAAGGACCAGAAGATGGATGGGGTGGGCAGGGGCGTCAGGGAAGGTGGACACAGGGCGGGTGGTGGTCCTCGGCGAAGGACCCAGGTCCAAGAAGGGGCATGGCATCTCCAGAACCCACAGAGCGGTCTGGCCAGAGGGCTGGCCAGGCCAGGGCAGGGCAGGAAGGTTTGGAGAGGCCTCTGTGGCCTGTGGCTCGGCTTTTCTCTCAGGCTGGCCAGGAACCTCAGGAAGTTCCTGCAAAAGAGTAATGGGCATGACTGACGGGGGCCGGGGGGGTGGTAGAAAGATGGCTGCAGGGGAAGGCCAGTGGGTCCCTGGGGGCAAGGGGGTGCAGCTGGGCCCCCGCTGCTGGCCCTCCTGGGGGAAGGCTGTAGGGCCAGGTGGGCAGGGGGGGAGGGGTCTGGTTTGGCCCGGCTGGGCTGAGTCTGGGAGTTGGGGGCCTGAGGCTTGAGGGGGGAAGGGAGTTGCTCAGGCTGGGAGGTCAGCCCAGAAGCCCCTCTAGGGGGTTACTCCTTGGCAGAGGTGGGGTCCAAGCCTGAGGGGCAGCGTGCCCTTGCTGCTGCCTACCCCTGTGCACCTCGGGCCGGCCTGTACCGCACTGCGTGCTGGTGAGGGGCTGGCCAGAGCCCCGTGGTGCACCCCTGCCCAGTGCCCTTCCCAGGCCGGCAGCACCCCTGCAGTGTGATACCTGGTGGCACAACGGCCACAGCCCACCCCCAGGCTCACTTTCCAGAGATGGGGGGGAGGCTCTTTGGCATCCGGGGTGTCCAGCAGGGCTGAGGTGGGCAGCTGGCCTGATCTCGAGCCCTGGGCACTGCTTGGGAAAGGTCGCAAGAGGAGGTGAGCCCCCAGACTCCTCTGCAAATAGTGTTTTCTCAGCGGCCAGCTGGACACGAGGCTGCCCATGGGGCGGTTCACTGGCTGAGGTGAGACGAGCCTGAGCACTCATGCTCCCCCAGAGAGCTGCTGGTTCTTGTCAGCCCCACTGCAGCCGGGAGACTGAGGCCCAGGTAAGGGTGTGCCAGGGTCCCCCGCCTGTGCTGGGTTGGGGAGGCCCAGGCCAGGGCCAGTGGGGGGCTGCAGTGCAGGGCCGGCTTTGGGGGTAGGTGAGCGCTGGGCCAGCCTGCATCTGGGACAGGGAGGGGGCGTCTGATGGAGGAGGGGGTGCCTGGCACCCAGGGAAGAGGCTGTGGCCGGAGCTGTCTGGCCGTGGGTGCCAACTCTGGGTGAGGAATTCAGGGTGGGGGCAGAGGTGAGGCCTGGGGGGAGAGGCAGTAGGTCTCGAGCTGAGACTCACCTGTTCGGAGAGCTGTCGCCGTGGGAGATGCTCTCACCAGGAGACCCCCAGGCTGTCCTGGGGGAGATGCTGACAGCAGGCTGCGCTGCTGACCCGTGTCCTTCGAGCAGCCTGGGGCAGATGGCCCAGGGGTGGCCTCTGTGTCAGGGAGGCTCCTGCTGGCACCGCTGACTGCTCTATGATCGTCCCTGCACCCCTGTTCCCTTCCAGAGAACCAAAGGCCCATTCCTTCCTCATGCCACTCCCCCCAGGTCCCCCATGCGGCGGCATCCTTGGGGGTCCAGCTGGCCTCCTGGGGCCTCTGAGTGCGGGCAGGGCTGGAGCCTGCAGGCTGCTGCTGGGGCTGAGGGCACAGCCCCTACGAGCTAGCCCCCGATGGTCTGCCCTCCAGGGCTCTTGGCACATCTGCCAAGCTGAGGGACCAGAGCCCACCCCCACCCCCACCTCCATCTTACTGTGTCCTTGGGCCTCTGGGTGAGGCAGGGGCTTCTAGTCCTTGGGAGGGTGCTGGGGCCGCCCCTGGAAGCCAGGGAAAAAGTGGGCTCTGTGGGGACCGGCCGCCTCGGGGAGGAAGGGTCTGGGCACTCACCTGTGGGAACAGAGAAGCCTGGTGGTATGGTGACAGGGACTCAGGTCCTGGGCCAGCACCTCATGGGCTAGAGGCCATCCTATGACTGGCCGCGGAGAGCAGGTGTGCAGCTCTGTTGTTCCCACGCAGGTGCTCTGCAGGTAGGTCTGGGTGTCTTGTGGAGGCACTGCCTGGCAGGTCCACAGGGTCCCACACTGTCATCCTAGCAGGTCTGGACATTTCCTAGATTGGCTGGTTCTTCTGGGCTGTCCAGGGGCTGGTCCCCAGGCTTGTGTCTCCTTAGGTGGCCAAAGAGGGATGCAGGGGCCACCCAGACACCCAGGGCGTCCAGCAGAGTGAGTGTGGGGTGGGCGGTGGTGTGCTCTGTGCCAAGACCGCTGGCCTCGTGGCTGGGGAGGTGGCCTGTGCTGGCGGGGCCTCCGCGAAGAGCGTGTGACCCCATGACCCTATCCCGGCCTCTGCGCCGCAAGCCCTAGGAGTGGAGAGGTGTGCTGGGGACTGGTTTGTGTTCTTCCAGCTGACTGTGTGAGGGGGCTGGGTGACCGGCTGGGGAGGGGTCCTGAGAGGGTTGGGGGCCGGGGACAGGTTGGCAGTGCTCAGCATGCATGTGTGCGGCAAGGTGTGCGTCGCAGGCGTGTGAGTCCTGTGCACGTGGGCACATAGCTGTAGGGTCTGAGATTCATCCTGCACATGTGTGAGCAGCACGGGGAGAGGCTGTGACCCTGTGGGGCTGGCCAGGGGTGGGGGGAAGGCCTGTCCCTGAACACCCCCAGCCCTGCGGTCCTCCCTGTGGGCTCTGCCTGCCCCCACCTGCCCTTGGGAGTGAGCAGCACGTCCCAGATGACCAGAGGTTCCCCCCTTCCCACGGCTGACCCAGGGATGGGGGGCACTGGCCTGTTGGTGCTGCAGAGGGCTGGACAGAAAAGGAGGGGCCCGGGTGGCAGCAGTGGGGTGGGCAGACCTGGCCTTGGCATCTCAGCAAATCCCCATGGCCTGTTCCAGTGGTTGGGGCAGCTGGCCGAGTCAAGCCTGGGTGGGCTCCCTGGGACACACACCCAAGGTGTGGGGCTGTGGGCTGGACCTCGTGGGCTCCCAGGCCTAGCTGGCTGGTGTTGGCAGTGCAGTGGGTAGAGGATGGGCCTCTTGCTGGGGTTTCCTCTGCCTCCTGGGCCTCACCTAGCTGGGGAGGCGAGCTGAGGGCAGTCTGTGTGTCCCCAGTCCCGCAGCGTGGACAAGCAGCATGCTGTCATCAACTACGATCAGGACAGGGATGAGCACTGGGTGAAGGACCTGGGGAGCCTGAACGGGGTGAGTGCAAGGGGCAAGGGGTGCTCTGTGCTGGCCCCGCCTCCGTCGCGACCCCGCCCTCTTTCTGGCCCCGCCCCCTCGTGGCCCCGACCCCGCCCCGACCCCGCCCTCCGCCGGCACCGCCCCTTCTCATGGCCTTTGTCTCTCTGCTGGGCCCGCCTTCTTTTGTGATGGTCACACCCCCTCCATGACACCCCGCCCCCCCATAGTAGCGCCCCCTGTCTTCCCCGCCCCAGCTCCTTCTGCACCCTGCCCCGCATCACGGTCTGTTCCTCCGCCTTGATCCCACTCCTCTTCGCTATCTCGGCTGTGTTGGCCCTGCCCCCTTCCCGGGACCCCACTCCAGCTCTGCCCCCTGCTGTGGTCCACTTGCCCTTCGCCACCACATCCCTCTGCTCTGTCCCCGCCCGAGCTCCTCCAGGATCTGCTGCTCGGGTGGGGAGGAAGCCACCTGCAGGTGCAGTGGCCCCATGGCCTCCTTGGGAGGCTCCGTGTGGGGCAGGGCTGTTCTGGGGGGAGAGGGCCCTAGGGAGGGTGGGAGACATTGGATCTCCTGCAGGCTGAGAAATGGGGCTGTCTGCTGGGATACCCTGTTCTGGGGGATGTGTGATCTCCTTTGTGAGCAGGGAGGGGGCAGGTGAGGGGTCCCTCCAGGGTCCAGTGTCTGGCTGTGTGGATATGTGGTTTCCTTCTGCCGGAGGAGGGCCTTCCGCCCTGTCCCCCCCAGCTCGTGAGGTCTGCCCTCTCCATCCTGAGCTTGGGGGGGGTGTCCCACAGCAGCCTCAAGCTGCCGAGTGCTGGGCACTCATCCCCACTTCCCGTGCGGGGCTCCTGGGTGGGGGGGTCTCGGGCTCTGCTGGGGTCTGCTCCTGAACCCCTCCTCTGTCAGCCCTCTTGTCAGACAGAGTCGCCCTACCTGAATGGGGCTGCAAGGAGAGTGAGCATCCCCTCCGCCAACACGGGCTGCATGGGGCGCCGGCCCCCCAGACCGCCTGGGCTCTGAGAGGGTCCCCGGGGCTGTGGGCCTGGTGTGTGCTTCTCAGAAGCCTGAGTGACATCTGTAGAGTTGGGACCAAGTCTTGCCTGCCTGTGCAGCACCGAGCCACGGGCACAGGCTGACAGGCTGCCCCCAGGCCGGGCCTGCTGCCCTCCACTGCTTGCAGGAGTTCACGGACTCCCGCATCACCGGCAGCGTGTGCAGACTGAGCTTGCCAGGCTCCCAGCCCTCTCTCAGGGCTGCTCTGCTGCCCCGCAGGCTCGTTTCTGCACCACCCAGCCCTGGCCTGGGACCCCTCCCTGTGGACCCACCCTTCTGCTCCGCCCCCGAGTCCTCCCTGGTTCTTGTGCCTTCCACCAGACTCCGGCACACTTGCCGTGCCTGAGCCCCTCTGTCTTCCCTCTGTCGCCTGGCCTGCCCCAAGGCCCTCAGAGTGTGTGGGGCTCTCTCCCCGATCTGGCCAGAGTGCAGTGTCCAGTGGCCAGCCAGTGAGAGCCCCTGGGTGGGGGGGGAGGTTTCTGGGGAGCAGGCAGCCTTGCACAGCCCAGCCAGCCTTGCCATGGGGCCACCCCGCGGGTGTGCCTTGGCCGCTGCCACTTCAGGGTCCTGGGTGCTGGATGAGGCCAGGCCTTCGGCGGTCACCTGTCCCGTGGTCCCTGCGGGGGTGAGGCTGGGTGCACGTGTGTCCAAGGGACAGTAGCTGGCCCAGAGCAGCACGAAGGAGGGCACTGCAGAGTCGCTGCCCCGCCTGCTGCTGGCTGGGCCCCGCCACCTGTTTCCTCCGCAGACGTTCGTGAATGACGTGCGCATCCCGGACCAGAAGTACGTCACGCTGAAGCTCCATGACGTCATTCGATTTGGCTACGATATCCTTTCCTGGCCACGCTCCCTCCCTCTGGCCTCAGTTGTCCTGTTGTCCTGGCAGTCGTAGGGGCCTCCATGGGCACAGCTGGGGCCCACGGGTGTCACAGAGTAGCCAGCATGACCCCGGGCTGGGCTCCAGCCCGAACCCCGGCCCCTATGCCCCCGACAGAGGCGCCGGTCACAGGCACCTGCTTCCTGTCTCCCGGTCTGAGCTCACACAGGGTCCCAGGAGCGAGTGAGCCCTCCCTGGGACCCAGGGTCCCTGGTGGCCTGGGGGCTGCCCAGGCTTGGCGTTCTGTGCTGGAGCATGTGGGAGTGGGGTCTGTGCCTCCGCCCTGAGCAGCCTGGTTGCCCTGGGGACCCGTACACGTGGCAGGAGCATGTCCTCTCCTCTATGCCCGCCTCGGCCAGCTCTCGTGTTCGCACAACCGCTAGTGGGTGTGGGCCCAGCCGCTGTCTGAGGCCCTTCCGACCCCAGATCCTTGGGAGGCCGGTGCTGAGGGGTGGCCTGGGATGGGAGCTGGGAGCTAGCTGTGTGGCAGGCTCCTGGGCACATCACCTGCCCGCCCTGCCCCGCACTTTGGCTGAGAGGTTAAAGGGCATGTGTGTGCCGTGATCTGGAGCAGTGTCTGTCCTGCTTCCCTGACTCAGAGCAGTGTGGACACGGGCCTGGGGCACACGCGGGTGTGGGGGGCAGCACAGCCCCCCGGGGCTGTCAGTCTGACTTGCCCAGGAGCTGTTTGCTCATCTCGCTGCGGAGAATGCCTGTACCACGTGGCCCCGTGCCCTTGTCCAAAGGCCATCCTGGCTCTTCTGCTCTGGGTTTGCCTTAACTTGCGGCCACATTCCAACATGTACGTGCTGGAGCGCGTGCAGCACCGGGTCCCCGAGGAGGCGCTCAGGGTCAGTGCCAGCACTCAGCCAAGGGGCCCCACCGTCCCTGCACCCCTCCTCCTGCCCAGCACTCCCACACCTCTTGGCTCCCTTGGCCTGGCTGCGGTGCCATGAGTCAGCCAGGCCTGGCCTGGCCTGTCCTGCAGGCTGGCCCGGTCTGGCAGGTGGGGAAGGTAGTCATTTCCCCAGGCTGCTGCAGCTGCAGGTGGTGGCAGTAGCGGGGAGGCTGCTGCACCCAGCTGGGGGAGGGGAGGCCCAGAGGCATTTGGGGTGCCAAGGAGGACCCTAATCAGGCTATCACAGGTGGTAGCTAGGAACGGGCAGGAGGGACCTGGGTCAGGGGCCGCAGTGGGTGGGACGTCTCCTCTCCCCTTGCTCGTTTCTGTGGGAGTCACAGAGCATCGACTTGGGGGACCCTGCCCAGAGCTTTACTCTGCCCAGAGCTTTACTCGGGAGCTTCTTGTGGGGGAGACTAGCCTTAGCCCTGTCTTTCAGTTGGAGTGTGGGCAGCCTGTCCGCAGTCACATGGGCAGTGTGAGCCTGGGTCTGACAGCTGTAGAGCTCAGCCAGGGGCCCGCACACGGATGCATGCACACAAGCGTGCATGCACATGGTGTACTCGGGTAGACCACTGTTCCCCACCTCCCGTGGCCCTGGGCCTGTCCCACCCTTCTCTGGTGGGTCCTGAGTGGGGGGTTCCGTGTGACCTCTGATGACTGCTGCCCGCTCCAAGCAAACCCCAGCTCCTTCCTGGAAGCTCTGTGGTCCTGAGAACCGCCGCCCCCCCCCTGCCCCAGGCTTGGGCGAGGACCCCCAGCCTCGAGCCTCAGGATGTTTCCTCCGTGGGTGTTGTGGGGAGGCCTCATGGTGTGCGGGGCCAGTCCTGGTCCTCTCTGGAGCAAGAGGGAGCGGGCTGCCCTGGGTGTCCCCCTGAGGCCGACCCTGCCCTTACCCTCGGCCCCCCTGCCCGCAGCACGAGAAGTATACCAGCCAGCTGCAGGTGAGCGTCAAGGGCCCGGCCCCCAGGAAGGGCGAAGCGCTGCCGCAGCACACCCCTTACTGCGAGTCCTTGGGTCCCAGGCCGGAGAGGGGGGACCGGAGGCCAGGGGCAGGTAAGGGCAGTGTTGCACCGGGGCCCAGGAGGGGTGTGCACACAGGCCTGCCCCCCCGCCCCGGCCTCCCCATGGCTCCCCTTGATCTGCCTGCTCTGGGTCACGCTCCCCTCCCAGCACGGCCCTCGCCCTGCCTCTCAGCCTCTGGGCTCACAGCTCCCCGCTGCCCCAGCACAGACCTGCTGGGCTGTGGGCTCAGGCACCCGTGTGCCCCACGCCTGCACAGCCTGAGACATGCCCACCCATGTGCACTGCCCCCCTGCTCCCCGTGTGGTCCGGTCAGCCTGCGGTGGGGCCCGGCCATCAGGGTCGCCCCTCTGTGGCTCGAGCCACTTACAGACCTTGGAGAGAGACCCGCCCTGGCTGTGGACTCCTGTCCTCCTGCCCTTGTGGCAGGCAGGCTCCGGGGGCAGAGGGCTCAGCCAGGGTTGGAGGGGTTGCCTGCCCCAGGATGGGGGTGCTGAGGACCGTGCTGCCTCAGGTGAGCCTCCTGCACAGGGAGGCCTGGGCGGGTTGGGGGCAGCGAGCGTCACCCACCGTAGATGTGGAAATGGGCCTTAGAGTGGCAAAGTTGGAGCACTTCGGGCAGGGTCCCGGGCTGAGATGGGAGGTGACACCAGGACCCCTCCAGAACCCAGCGCCTTCCCAGCCCCGGGTCTTCCTTCATCGTCTGCGCTGGGGCCCCAGTGACCCAGTGTCGGACTCCCTCTCCTCCTGCAGAGTCGGCGGCCTACCGCACACCCCTGTACGGGCAGCCCTCCTGGTGGGGGGAGGACGACAGCAGCAGCCCCCCCGAGGACCGGCGCCAGGAGGAGCCCTACGCAGGTAGGTCCCAGAGGCCCCTGGCACTTCTGAAGGGTGGCCGGGCTGGAAATGCCTGTTCCGGGGAGACAGCCGACCGTGCTGGCAGAGGTGGGCGGTCCGAGGTCGGCACCCTGCAGCCCCCGAGGACATGCTTTCTCCCCCCACCCACCCAGAGCGGCCCAAGGAGCCGGCACAGCAGGACGGGGAGCTCCCTGGGACGACTGGCTTCCGGGCGGCGGCGGAGTCTCGGGGCTTCTCGTTCAGGCGGGAGCCCAGTTACTTTGAGCTCCCCACGAAGGAGGCCCCTCCGCCACCGCGGCCCCCCGAGGCGCCGGCCCAGGAGGCACCCGCCACGGCCCCTGTGGTGCAGAGCCATGCCTCCTTCACCATCGAGTTCGATGACTGCAGCCCCGGCAAGGTGAAGATCAAGGACCACGTCACCAAGTTCTCGCTGCGCCAGAGACGGCCCCCAGACAAGGAGGCCACACCTGTGGAGGCCGTGTCTGCCGAGACCAAGGTGGCCGACTGGCTGGTGCAGAGTGACCCTAGCCTGCTGTGCCGGGCTGGCCCCGGGGATGACCGTCACAGCACCAAGAGTGACCTGCCCGTCCACACCCGCACCCTGAAGGGTGAGTGCCGGGCGGGCCGTGACCTCACCACAGCGCCTTCGCCTCCGGGTGGGGTGCCCTCATCAGCTTGGTTGATTTCCCGCCTGCAGTTAATTGCCAGACACCTGCCTCCCCAGTTGGGGCAGTTGGGCGTGTTCCCGGTGCTCATCTCAGCCACGTGTGCTGGGTGCTGTGCGCTGTGGGTACCACGTCCCCAGCCTCGTGGCACCGCTTGGGCAGGAGGTGAAGAGGCTCCCCTTCCCCCAGATCGCTGCGTCCTTTCCCTTGACCTGATGCATTGGGGTTCCCCACCCCCAGGTCACAAGCATGAGGATGGCACGCAGAGCGACTCGGAGGACCCCACGGCCAAGGCGGCGGTGGCAACAGCTGGGGTCCCTGCGGAGGGCAGCGGGGTGCAGGTGCGGCTGCAGAGGCAGATGAAGCGGGACCCCCAGGAGCTGCTGCATAACCAGCAGGCCTTTGTCATCGAGTTCTTCGACCAGGACACGCCCCGCAAGAAGCGCTCCCAGTCCTTCACGCACACCCCTCCCGGGGACCCCAAGGCCGACAAGCGCCGAGGCCCCGGGCCAGCGGACAGAGACCGCTCAGCCGTCCCTGCTTCGGCGCGGGGGACAGGCGGCAGCTCAGGGCCGCAGCGGGCCAGCTCGCTTAAGCGGGAGAGGACAGAGGAGCGCCTGGGGGGCCCCTCACCCACCTCCCGGGGCTCTGCCCGACCCTTTGGCAGCGTGGGGCGCCGCTCCCGTCTGGCCCAGGACTTCATGGCCCAGTGCCCGCGGGAGGGCTCCCCGACCGCCCGGCCCGGCCCTGACAAGGCATCTCCAGCGTCACCGGCCCCCGAGACACCCCGTGGGGCCAGCCCTGTGGCTCCTGCGACCCCACCACCGCCTCCCGCTGACCCCCAGCTGAGCAAGGCTCGCAAACAAGACGAGGACGACAGTCTGAGCGATGCGGGGACCTACACCATCGAGACAGAGGGGCAGGACCCGGAGGTGGAGGAGGCCCGCCAGATGATCGACCAGGTCTGCAGGGCAGGGGGTTGGGGGCCTGGCTGGGGTTGGGGTGGCTCTGACCCAAGGGCCTGGCCATCCCTCCTCCCAGGTCTTTGGGGTGCTTGAGTCTCCTGAGCTCTCCAGGGTGTCCTCGGCCACCTTCCGTCCGGTCATCAGAGGGGACAGAGACGAAGCCAGTGACGGGGTCGCCCAGCGAATGGCGCTCCTGCAGGAGTTTGCCTCCCGGTCGGTGGGCATAGCCCCCCAAGGGGAGCTCCAGGTATGTGGGAGGCACACTGCCCTGGGGAGGTGCTGGGACCCCATCATCAGGTCCCGTATGAGCTCGAAGGTTATGGTCTCGCCTGCGCTGGATGCCTCATACGAGGCTGGGTCGAACCTTCACTGAGTGGCGTGCCCACCTGGCGGGTGGGCTGGGGCCCTGTGTGGAGGGCTTGAGGACAGGTTCCAAGTCAAGTTGGGCCCCTGGGTGTGTGCCCGCAGGCAGGGCTGGGCTGAGCCACAGCTGCTGGCCTCTAGCTCCCGAACCGGGCTCAGGTTAGGTAGTTACGTCGGGGTTCTGTAAGCTCAGGAGTGCAGCAGGGGGTTTCCTGGCTGTTTCTTGGGTGGGGCGGGGGGGGGGGGGGGGGGGCCCCCGGGCCCAGGGTGGGGGGGGGGGGGGGGGGGGGGCTGCTGTGCCACAGGTCCAGAGATGGCGTGTTTGGGGCCAGGGGTTAGGGTGAGCTGTCCCCACTGCTGAGGGTCTCCACGGGGCTCCTGACTCTCCCTGCTGCAGACACACACTCGTCCTTCACTCCGCAGGGCCTCACGGTGCCGGGCTCCCCCGGGGGTCAGAAGTGGGTGTCCCGCTGGGCCAGCCTGGCCGACAGCTACGCAGACCCAAGCCTGGCAGGTGAGTGGTTCAGGCTCAGCAGCGGGGAGGGGCTGGGCCCAGGCTTTCCACCGGACACGTGGGCGTGAGTGCGTGCCAGCCAAGTCCGGAGGAGGGTCAGGCTTCTGGCATGCACTGAGGGCCTGCAGGCCCAGCGGCCGCTCCAACCAGTCTGCCCTTGTCTCTGCAGAGGAGAGCCCTGGGCGCAGAGCGGGGGAGCTTGAAGGGACCCTGCCTGCGCGCCAGCGACGACGACTCCCACAGCTGCCCAGCGACCGCGCAGACAGCCCTGGGGGCCTCGAGGCCACCAAGAGGAGCGGCCCTGGGCCTCCGGAGCCGGGCAGCGAGCAGGCCGGCTGCCTCTTGGGCCAGGAGGACCTGGAGCCTGACAGCCTCAGTGATGCCAGTGGGTCGGATGGTGGGCGGGGCTCCGAGCTGGGTGGGGGCCCGCAGGAGGAGAGACGGAGGAGCCCCCAGGAGGGAGTAGCCTGGACGAAGGGCCGGCACTCGCCAAGGGCCCCTGGAGAGCCAGCCCCCGCCTCTTTCTTCATTGGGGACCGGAATGTGGAGACAGCCTTCCCCAGGAAGCCATCCATGGCTGCAGGGGAGGTGGACAGCCCCGGGCGGGTGGCGAGGGACGGCGTCTACGTCAGCTCCAGCGGGAGGATGGTTATCCAGCTGCGGACAGAGCGGTCCTCGGAGCCCGAGAGCCCTGCCCCGGCCTTGGTGCGACAGGATAGCTTCAGCAAGGAGCCGGCCGGTGGCCCCCCAGCGCCCGGCCAGCTTCCGCACATCTCGAGCCACCCCCTCCTGCAGGACCTGGCTGCCACCCAGGCCTCACACATGGACCTCCACCCCCAGGACACCCACCTGATCCTCAAGGAGACGGAGACAGCCCTGGCAGCCCTGGAGGCCCGGCTGCTCTCCAAGTCCGCGGAGGAGGCAGAGGGCCCGATGGGCAGCACCCCTGGGCCACCAGATGACTCCCTGTCCGGGGACTCTGATGTGGACACAGGGAGCACAGTCAGCCTGCTCAGTGGTAAGAACGGGCCCAGCCCAACCAGTCCCCAGCCTGCGGGGCCGCAGAAGGAGAAGCCGCCGTCCCCACCAGCAGCACAGGACCCGGGGAGCATCTCCTCGAACAGCGCCCGAGAGCGGCTCTCAGACAAGCATCGTCGCCCCCCGGGCCCCATGGACGTGGGCCGTGCAGAGCTGGGGAGGCGCCTGGCTGCGCGGCGTGGCACCGGGGCCCGGGCACCCTCGGACTGGCCTGACGAAGAGCGAGGCTCCGGCCCGGCCCACCCGCCTGGCGCAGACACCGTCACCTCTGACCACGAGACCCCCGTGGCCCCTGGGGCGGGGCGGCCAGGACCTCGCCGGAAACCGGCACCCGCAGCGCCATCCCCGGCTCCGCGGGAAGAGCAGGGCCGTGGCTGCGCCCAGAAGGTACAGCAAGTGCTGACCCGCTCCAACAGCCTGTCCACCCCTCGGCCCACACGGGCCTCCCGGCTGAGGCGGGCCCGGCTGGGGGACGCCTCAGACACGGAGGCTGCCGATGGTGAACGGGGGCCCTCGGCCAACCCTGAGCCGGCGGGGCGGCCAGCCCCTGAGCAGACCAAGAAGCTGTCGCGCCTGGACATCCTGGCCATGCCCCGGAAGCGGGCGGGCTCCTTCACTGGGCCCAGCGACTCCGAGGTGGCCCCTGCCCGCACCAGCTTCTCTGGCCGCAGCGTCGAGTTGTACTGCACTGGCCGCAAACCCGTCATGGCCGAGGCTCGGGCCGCCGCCACCAGGAAGGCCACCAATACCACCACGGCCCCCCGCCAGCCCTTTAGCAGGGCCCGCCCGGGCAGTGCCCGATACTCCTCACCCAGTGAGTGCCACATCAGCCAGGGCGGTGGGTCCGCAGTGTTCTGGGTCAGCCCCACGCATGGCCGTGGGGCCCCCCGACTCTGGCCCTAGAGGAGCCCCCATGCCCAGGCAGGCCGGTCTCCACAGACACACTCGAGAGCCTTGAGTGTGCGCGGGTCCGCATCTTCCGCGAGCCCGGAGGGAGGGGCTCCTGCTGACTCGTGGGTGGGGGCCTGTGTGGCTGTGGACAGTAGGCTGGGGCTGCCCACTCTGCCCTGGCGCTGTCCCCTGGGGGGCTGGGTGCTGGGGGCGGCCGTGTTAGTCTCCCACGCAGCCCCGGGTGGGGTGCAGAGGGACGGTGCTGTGGCCGCTGGGGCTTGTCTCCCGCCCGGAGTGGCTGGATGGTGCCCGGCATGCCCTGCTGAGGCTGCAGACACGGCCCCTCCCTGCCTTCTGGGCCGCGGGGGGGGCGAGGGGTGCCGGGGGACCGGTTTGCTGGAGAAAAAGGGATGGAGCGGGACAGGGGTGGAGCGCTGGGGACCACGGCTGGGTGCCAGCCCACTGCCCCTCTTTCTGGCGGCGTGTGTGTGCGGGGCCTCAGAGCAGGGCGGGCGGGAGTGGGTCCCAGACCAGGCAGGCAAGGGAGGGGGCTGTGAGGGCCGAGCCCAGCCACCCCCTGTGGTACCCCCCAGGCCTGGGGCTGATCCACGTGGGGAGGTCCACCCTGATTTGGGGTATCTGTGGGTTCCATTCCCTGCCACCAGTCCTGCCAGTTCCCATCTGATGGGTACGGACCCTCCCCGCGGGACATGGCCTCTGCCCACGGGGTGAGCAGTCTCAGGCCCGTGGAAATGCCAGGCCACCCGGTCCAACCCATCCCTGCCCGTCCCTCTCCGGCCCTGCGCATCTCTGCCTGTCCTTCCCGGACCCTGCTCCTCCCTCCCTGACCCTGCCCGTCCCTC